GAAGTTCATAACCCAACAACCTCCAAGCCGCCTCATATGAAGAAACATATCTACAATCATAGAACATGTTAATCTCGTCAACCGGCTTTTCCGGCTCTCCGTCTCCAGCTGACCGATAAAACGTTGCGGTGACACGATCATTGCCCTTGTTGACATATTTGAAGAGGTACTTGATGGACCGAGACTGATTGCACCACTCAACATTTATGTGAGCACCGTATTTCATCAACAATTTTCAATTGTGGGGCACGACAAAACCGTTATGGACAACTACACCATTTTTCTCTACATGTCTTCCATTGTCTCTACGCCTGTACCGCGGATAGCCATCATCATCAACATAAGTTAATTCAAGAAATGGTTTCGGAAAACGTTTACTACATTTTCCATCGAACATGCACGGAGATTGCTTTCTTGTCAGTCCGCACGGGCCGTGGATCATGTGTTCCTTTATAGCTTCGTAATAATAAGGATTAGACGTCTCATCAGGTATCTCAGCAGATATAATTCTATCTATGTCGGACGGATCGGGAAGCTTGTTTTCCTTTGCTAAAAAAAGCAGTATATGGGCATGAGGCAATCCGCGTTTTTTAAATTCAACAGTGTATACAACTGAAAAAAAAGGTAAAAATGTCTATTAATTATGAATATTACTGTAAACGAATTCAAATGAAATAAAACTAATTTTTTGAAAGAATGATCATACCTGTTGTTACTTGACTAAATATTTGATTCTCACAAAAATCCTTTATCAACTGCTTTAATTTTGATCTAAACACTCTGCATACGATATCAGGACGATCCTCAGGACGTATGTTCTTTGGGCCTAAAAAGCAAAGTATCTCGGGCCACTTTGGGTTGCATGTGAATGTTATAAAAAGATCGGGATAACCTGCCCATCTACAAATCGCCATCGCATCCTGATAGTTCTGAATCATATTTCGAGCACCGCCGGTGAAATTCGAAGGTAGAATTATTCTTTTGCCTCTAGATCCTGATCGATATCACCACGAAGAACAGCATCCGCCAACCCATTGTACATGTCACATCGTAGGCGATTTTGATTGTAACGGATATATCTCAATATGGCTGATTCAACCATAGTATATGCATCAAAGACAAATTGTTGAAACAGTCTCCTTGCCGAAAGAATAGTGGATGGTTCGTGATTTCTGTCGTGGATCCGATAAGCAAAATATTCCCTGATACTCACAGTTTTTCGGACATCCTCTTTTACTTCTCTCAGCTCAGAAAATGGAATGTCTTCTCTGTACCCATCCTCGCCATAGGGCAACAATAGGGGATATTATAAAGCAAAGTAGGAAGCATTAAGTTCATTGATTCTCTGTAGGCGTCCACTTTTGGTTTCAAACAATATATCCCTTTCACCCATTGCTTGATCAAAATCTCCAACGACCAAGGCAACAACTTCAGAACTTGTAGGCAAGTTGTAACATCTACCATCACTGTATCGCCTTCCAATTAGACGAATCTTGATATCACTTTGGCCATGCTGTTGAATTCTTTCCCTAGCCATACAAAACGACTTAACCAGTTGATTGTGCTCATCCAACATTAATGTCAAGCGAGCAAATAAGTTATGAAAAAAATCATAATCAGATCCACAAAATATATCGAGAAGTTATATTATTTAGGCTTATTATAAAATTCGAATTAAACCAAACAAATATCCCAAATCATATACTAATAAACGACAACGTAAATTACCGTATTGGTGAAATCGGATTTTCCCAAATTCCATTAACAAATATATCGATTGAAATGTCATATGTGTTTTGAAAAGTATCCCAAAAAAAAAAATCAAAATATTATTAGAATGTACCAATTTTTCAAGAATACACAATTTTTTTAATTATTGCTTATTCGATTAAATTTGATTATTTAAAAAAGCAAATTTTCGAAGAACATATTTGCATATAAAAAATTATAATCGGATATGTTGAAGAGAATGCACCATGTTGTTAGGAATACACATATTTTGGAATTGTTTCATTCAATATTCAATATAATATAGGGGTCCTTTCATTAAAATTTATGTATTATCTTTTTATATAAAGTTTATAATTCCTAAAATCGTAAATATTATGATATCCAACAATATATTGTATAACCAAATCTACATTAAACATTGGTTTTTATTGAAAAACACAAATAAATACTTATAATAGTTGTTAATCGGACAATACAAATTAACGAAACATTAAACTATTACTAAATAAAAAACATACCTATTGCCAACGGAAATTTAATATAAACAGTAAATTAAAAAAAATAAAATATTTTCAAAATAACGAAACATTAACAATAGAATATATCTCATATGGTGCTTCATGCTTCACTTCTGATCATCATTATTAGTTTTGGCTTCCAAGGCCAAAATCCAGACCTCCTCTTTCTCACTATTGATATCACCACCGTGAAGCTCTTGTATATCGCTATTTATCCCGGCCTTATTGGTTGTGACATTCATGCCCCTTTTATATAAATTGGTATTCGAAAATCTGCACAATCAATTATAAAATAAATACAAAATTACCAAAGCACAAAATTACATAATTAAAAATGGCATAAAGTGCAATTAATACACAAAATTATTACTTTTCACGAAAATGTATAATATCTGGGTTGTTTGAAGCAATGAGGCGCGTTACATTCATGTAGTTACTCAAATACACCTCACATGTGCCAAAACAATGAAAATTAAGTTGCAATTTAAATTTTTATTTAATAAGATTATTTATTTTTATTATAAAATGATAAATAAAAAACAGAATTACCTTTATAATATCTCAACATACATAACTGAATGATGAGAACCCATGGTTCTTCATTTGAATTGAAGTTATTCTCATAGGCAAGAAACTGATCAACATAATCATCGAATAGTGTGCAACGCATCACTATTCCACTATAGAAAATAAAAAATAATATAATATTAGACTTTAAAATAAAATACTTATTCAATAATTCAAGCGTGTAAATAATACTT